GAGTTGTTATTACCATTAGCCCTAGATTAGGTCCCATGGAGCAAAAACTGGAGCTCCAACCAAGCCCTGGTAACCTTCCCTGACTGGATGCAGAGCTTAAACAAGTGGCCATGCTGGCCAGGGGATTTGGGGAGTTTTCAGAGCTGTCGTCTAAAGAGTAATTTTTTTCAACTTTGGTTAGAGCAGTGGTTCCCACACTTTGGCCCCCCAGATGTTTTGGACTCCCAGAAGCCCCAGCCAGCTTGGCCAACTGTCAGGAATTCTGGTAGCTGAAGTCCAAAACATCTGGGAGATCAAAGTTTGGTAATCACTGGATTAGAGGGTGATGTTTAGCTAGACAGCATGTTGCAAGTCTAGGCCAGATAATGAGAATATACTTTAGAATTATGAGGCTTAAACATTAGAACAAGTGGTTCCTGCAGTAAAATATTGTGGTGTTCCCTTTCAGCCATTCATGCCCTCTTCCAGATATTCCATATCATTTATCCTTCCACACAGCTTCCCATATACATCTACAAACTTTGGGGTGGCCACATGACTGCTGATACCTACTTTTTAAACCCACTCATATCTCATCTTTGGAAATAGGTGGGAAAATATGAAAACTTAAGTTCTATGCATTTACATCTGAGGTCTAGTTGTATCATTGACATTCTGTTGCTCTTGTTGGAATGTAAGATTTGACTTGGCATAATTTCACTGGTACAGCAGTGGATGTGGTTCATCATTTGGTCTCAAAACAAGTCTTGAGTACAGAAAAGACTCAAGTGCCTCTGCCAAATCACAGCCATAGAAACCCACTGGGTGACCTTGGGAAAGCCACATTCTCTCAGCCTCAGAGGAAGGCATAGGTAAAAACCTCTCTGAACAACTCTTGCCAAGAAAATCCTGTGATCAGGGTAGCCTAGGTTTGCTATAAGCTGGAATGACTTGGAGGTGCATGACAACAACAAATCACAGTCTTGAAGCTGGAGAAGGTTTTTGTAAATACATCCAGCTCTTTCTCAAAGCAACAACAAAAGTTTCATTTGCTCCTACAAGTGAGACTTTTACATACAACACCAGCATGTTTGGAGATTTGTTAGAACTCAGTGACACTGAAAAGAAGTTGCAAATACTGATGGGTGTATGCTGAGAGGGAAATGATTCTGTGAATCAACTACCGTACTTTTGCCTCCCTTCTAAAATCAGGTTACAAGCTGTGCATTCTGTGTGTTGGATTGACCTGTACATTCACCTGAAGTTACAGAAGGTTTATCACCAGCTCCATGGTAATTAGAAAAATACAAACTAGAACAGAAACAGTTCAGTTACAGGTGCTGCTTACCTCCCACAGAGGTGATTCTCATAACAAGAAGGAACGAGATTCCTCTTGCATGCCATTTTAATACAGATTGAGGATTACTTTGCCAAATATTGACATTATGTGACTTGATAAAGCCCTACATGGACACCAAGGACTGAGGAGAAGCATGTATCTAACTGGATGAACATGTGTTGTTATAAGTATAGTCTGACAAAGTTGAAGGCTTTCCTCTAAAGGAGACTTTCTGCCAAGAGAGTACAGCCTGAGCAAAAATAACATGTCTGAGGAGAACAAACAGGCTGCTATCCACTAAGTCGGTTTTTCAGTTCACCACTTGTTCCAAGAACTCGGCCTGATGGCTGATGATGGGAATGTGGAGAATGTGCTCTGCATACACAGAACACCACAGCCACTAATAATGAAATGGAGGGGGCACATAAATGCTAAGGACTATCACTCTTGCCTCTAAAATAGCACATTTCACCCCTGCCTTTGTTGCTATTATAGGAAGAGAGTGACTGTGGGTAATTGCACCAACTGAAAGCCCTTTGTCTCTGATTTAAACAAAAAAAAAACATACAACAAAAATCAAAGTGAGCCTTCCTAAGATCTCGGCTTATATTTCTGTAAGAGTATGCATGGCACTTTGGCATGTGCCTACGAGAAGAATTCCCCACCCCATCTTCAGTGTCAGGATCTAGTTTATTGTTGTACTTAAATCTAAAGTTTGGAAAAGTTACTTTTTGGACTACAGCTCCCAAAATTTTCCCAGTGGCCGTGTTGTTTGAAAAAGGAAGATGTAGCAAAGGATGGAAATAATATTCATAGAACCATAGAATCATAAAATCATGGAGCTGGAAGAGAATCGCAGAGTTGGAAGACACCTCAAGGGCCATCCAGTCCAATCCCCTGCCATGCAGGAACTCACGATCAAAGCACGCCCAACAGATGTCTACCCAGCCTCTGTTTAAAGACCTTCAAAGAAGGAGACTCCACCACACTCTGAGGGAGTGTGTTCCATTATCGAACAGCTCTTATTGTGAGGAAGTTCTTCCTAATGTTGAGGTGGAATCTCTTTTCCTGTAGTTTGAATCCATTGCATCCATTCATTGTTATGTATTTGCAGTTTGAAAAACAGGATTTGTAACATTTGGGGAGAAGAAAAGACCAATGAGATTATTTTTCACCCAAAATTCAGACATCCTGAAGTATTGCAGAGGAATTATTCTGCATAGAAAAAAAATGGGCTGGATTTCAGCATGGGACTTATGTCTTTATAAGTGGATTTACTTGTGTAGGAAACAGGATTA